AGATGAAAGCCATTTCTTAAATAAAAAAGAAAAACACCCACACCCAGCAAAAAATTATAAACAGTAAAATGAATAGGATTCCCAAAACCAAGTGGAATGACATGCCATGGTCCGATGAGACCAAAGTTGAAATTTTTCAGCCACAAACCCCAGAAGTGTGTTTGACAGTACAGGCGTCTGCTAGAGAACTGAAGACAAAAAGTAATTTCACCTTTCAACAGCGACAGTGATGCCGAGCATATTGATGAGTTGAGCAATAATTTAAACCTGCCGTTGAGAAAGGAGTGTGCACCTTTTATATCCGCTGTAGATATGAAGACATCTGAGCCGAGTCTCCCGTTGACAAGGTGTTAATATATCAGTCGTGTATGTTAAAACTGACAAGGTGTTAATATATCAGTCGTGTTATGTTAAATGTTAAATGTTAAAATGTGGCATCACAACATATATTCCTATACAGACGACAACAGACCTTCACAGCACGTGTGAGTCTTTGACATAAAACCTCTGATTAACTGTGACAGTCCTGCCACTGAAAAGCCATATGTGTTATATGTAGAGGCACATGTTCCTGTTTTAATGCTGACGGGACACCATACATTTCGATACCAAATGCATTGGCTATAAATAGTATTTATTCACAACTCAGCCATGTGTCTCTGCGTGCAACCATTTGGCTCTTGACGAATTTGGGAAGTGTGTTAATTAGCAGTCTCTGAGTAGCAAACAAGGTGAGTGAGCGAGTGAAATGGTTTCTGTCAGGCAGGTAATAGAGCATGAACATCCCATTAAGCACCTCCTTTTCCTCTCAGGCCACATTTTCCCTCATTCACACAGTTTGCCATGCTTTATGCGCGGCCTCCCGGCACCACCCTGCAGCGAGGATCCATCCCTACCGTAAAATCAGAACGCAAATGCCTCAAAATGACATCCCCAGACTTCATGTGGGCACTGCGGCGGCTAATGTTGCTCAGAGCTAGTGGATAATCCTGCTAAAAGTGTTAAGTCATTTATTACTGTGGAGAAAACCAGAAGAAGCTGCAGCCAAGGCTGGGACAAGACCCCATGCAGTCAGCACAGTATATAGTGTGAAAAATGCTTTCAGGGAGAAAGCCCAGTGACGAATGTGTGCTGTTGCGTTATGTTTGTATGAGCTGGGAGAAGTGATGGAAGTGGATGTCGACTAAACACCCCGAGGGAAGTCTGACGTCTACTGAACAATTTATGAGCTGTCATGAAATGTTGTGTTTTTTTTTTTTTTTGCAGATGGAAAATAACAGTGATTACCGACACCTGTCATTCAGTGGATGCCTTGAGTGGAGCTGAAGGTAGACTGAGTTCAATTCATATCTCTCCACACTCGGAGACTTTATGATTGCCACATAGGAAAGAGCTGCTGTGTATTTTCTGCTCTTTTAGCATCTACTCTTTAAATAGACCAAGAATGGAGAATTTAAACTTTTACAGACTACTCTTGTCAGTTTCCACATAAAGTTTGACTTTATTTATTGGCCTCTTGTACTTTAAATATGAATATTTTTTAAAAGAGAATATTTAATCCAATACATTAAAAGTTGTGCTACTGATTTGTAAGCAGTAAAGGTTACAAAAATGAGAAGAAAGAAAGTATGTTTTACTCTTGGATCCATTGGTGGATGCTCTGTTCATACAGTCTTTAAGTTGCAGTTTTGGTAAGTTTTGTCTGTCATCTCAGTCTGGACTTAACTTTCCTATGTAACTTCAAAGTCGTCAGCAGAGTTGTAGTTTTGGTGGATGTCATATTGCAGAGGCTACATTACATTACAATTTGGCTCCGCAAATCCACCAACTTTCACCAATCTCGTGAAGCCTGACACGTGTTCATTTTCCCACTCAATGTTGGTTCCTTTGCAACACGTGTTGTTCACATCGTCATCTATTTTAGAAGGATAAATATCCCTGGATATCCCAGGCATTCTGGTTAAGCTGACCACTCATATCTACTGCCTGTTAATACACACATTACAAACTTTCTTTTAACTTATTAAGAAGAGATTGAAGTTCCCTGTTCTCTGCCCTCATCTTCCTGCTTGTATCATTAGCAGCTCATTAACATCACTGTGTTTTTGGAATGAATTGGCACATTTTCCTTATAGATGGATAGATAGATAGATAGATAGAAATTACAGTAGAGGTTTTTATTTCATTTTTAACACCTATGAAATCAATAAAGGGTGTTTCTCCACCCTCTATATTTTCAATAGTGTCCTCTGTTGCTGCAGGATTCTAGGCAGTGCCTTAACTTTCTGTATTTCCTGCACAGACTTTGCTCCTTCCTAGTTTTCAATGCAGAGAGAAGAAAAGCCCAGATTCCAGCAATGCTCACTCAGACAGATACGTGTGTGCACACTGCGTAGAAAGGAAGCTGGCAAGACACAGCCAGAGCCGACATGCCAGACTGAAGGATGAATGTCACTGTGGGCACTGATTCCGGCTGAGAGATGCCACCATAGATTCTCCCCCAAGACATCTGGAACCCCAGGTGCCTGTCCTGCCAATCTAGGCCCCAGCTGCAGGAAGCCCAGTGTCCTTGGTGGTGCCAAGAGCTGTGCAACAAAATCTGAGCTTATCAGCTCCACCACAGCCCTTTATGGGCCTATTCACCTCAATCAAAGCGGTTATTTAGGTAATGAGCCAAGATGGCAGATATTGCTGCGCTCCAATTACCCACTAAGGCTCCTCGTGGCGTCCCTGCCAGCTTTCCCACAAGCCCCCATTCTCCTCAGAGTACCCAGGTGCTCTGGC